GCCTTCATCCGCTACTTGATCTCGTCAAACATCGGTGAGGCCTGGGCCGCTGTTGCTCTCTTTCTTTGCTTCTCCCTGGCCTTTGATGCGGCAGCGCTGAATCATTGTCAAATCATTTTGCTGGCTCTGATGAAACGCGTGCATCCACAATTCATGATTCTTCACGCTTCGCGTATCCCCACCAGCCCGTCCAGAAACGACGCCCAGGCGAGTAGAGGGTCGTCCTGAGGGGCTTTTCGGCGTCTTGGGTGCCTCGGGGGGGCCTCTTTGGGCCGTTTGTGATCCTCTTGGGGGCCTCCTGGGGGCCTCTTGGGGCCATCTTGGGGCCATCTTGGGGCCTCTTGGTGCCTCCTGGGCGCTTCTTGGGGCCATCTTGGAGGAAATCGATCAAAGAAGAGGGGAGCTTCAATTAGCACTGCCCCCTCAGAAGGCCAAAATGGGGCCAAAACCTTAGTAAAATCAATGATTTTGGCTTCAAAGAAGAGGGGAGCTTGAATTAGCGCTGCCCCCTCAGAAGGCCAAAATGGGGCCAACACCTTAGTAAAATCAATGATTTTTGCTTCAAAGATGAGGCGAGCATTTTTCTGCCTCCCCCCGTCGGGGCCAGAATCCTCGTGAGGGGTGTCGTTTTTTAGCCCTCCCAGGAGTCGAAAAAGACCCCTCCAACGACCCGCGGGACGCCCTCTCCAGGCCCAGGGGGAGGGGGTAGGGGGAGGGGTAAACCCCTCCCCGAAGGGGAAGAAGGGGGGTTGAGAACAGAGAGGGCTCCCTAAACCACTCACGCCCAAAGGGCTGGTGGGATTACCCCACTCATGCTGCTACTGCAGCTCCTCGAATGTTCTCAGTCGGGGTAGAGAGTACGTGACTTCCAATTTGACATTGGAAATGCGGGGTCAGATAATCCTGGGATAATCAAGTCGATGCTCGCTGGGCAATGGAGGCATCCTAGAGCCTCGTTCCCACTCGCAAGTGCGATCCGCTTCTCAGGGGCCGAACTTTGTAAGATCAGTGCTGCGCTGCGCTGTAGCATGTGCTGCTGAGCAGCGTTTCGGTGTTCGGTCCACAGGCACCCTAATTACAGTACACGGTTCCCTGCACCAGAAGAGATTTGTTCGCCCGTTTGCGTCGTTGTTCACACAAGACCTATGCCAAGCCAGGCGTGTTATTCGACCTGCGTCTGATAGCCGCAGCGAGCGGGGCGTTGGAAGACCAGGAAGTGGAGGTGTCCCTGAGCGAGTGGAGGAAGCAGGGTTGTAGTGTTGATGTTCGGGTGCGCATCCCTTGCCTCCCTGACGCGTCCGACTTTTCGTAGAACTATTTTGGCGTTGCGGCGGAAGCCTCGAAGCGTAGCGTGAACAAGCCCTTTGGTCTGCGCCTAGCGTCCAACGCACGAGTGACCATCGTCGCACGGATCGTCCGCACATTCGATCTCCGACTTCGGTTTCGAGAACATCATGTCGATGACGCATGTAGCAATTTCATCTCTCACCGTTTCGGGGCCATCGCTTCTTGCGAGTGGTGCTCCCGTGGTGCTTCCAGAGATGAGGTGGCCTCCATCTTCCTGACGGCCGCTCTCGGCATCCCAGAAGGGCTTGCCCCGGTGCCCCGCGCGTGCATGCAGCCAACGCAGTGTCCAATTGCCAATCATGTTCGCTCTCTGACGGTCTCCATGCGGGCAGTCTGTGTTAATTCTTGTGCACGAATGTGCGCATGGACGTGTATCCATGTGGGTATGCTCAGCTAGCCCGCAACGTATGGAATTGTCAGAGCCAAGCTGAATGTGAGCTTGTGGACCCGAGCATGGAATGTGTTCCTTGTGTTGGAACGCTCGATGGGGGGAGTATAATTACCACACGTTTTTGGGATAGTCCGCTGCTGCTATGTGAGGCAATGCGTCGTTTGCGCGTGCGTGCATGTATGCGCGTGCGTGCGCGTGCGCTCGGTTGTGTGTGTGTGTGTGTGTGTTTATGTACCAGTGCGCATGTTTCCGCAGACGCACCTGTGTCTGGTAAGCGCTTGAGTTCGATTTTAGCGCCCGATTGTGCGAGCTTCTTCGCGCTATTCGTTTTTTCGCATTACGTGTGTCGGCGCTCGTGTGACTCGTGTGTTTGTCTACGCTGGTGTGTGCTGTGCTGGTCGACAGGTTTGTGTAGGGCATCAGGGCACGCTGGTGTCTGCGCACGCGTGCTTCACTTGGAGTTAAGAAGGCGCAACCGGTGACGACAATGCCGAAGCAGTGACCCCATACATACAGCATGCAAATGGATGCACTATGTGTCAGCATTGTGTACCATGGTGGCGCGTCAGCACTTCTGATCAGCATGACAGCACCGCGTGTTACTTGCCATCATTTTGTACTCGCACTGCTTGTCGGCATTATACGCCATCGATCCGCGTATCAGTCGTGTGTACAAACATGGCGTAGGACAGGCGCTCGTACTTGCACACTGCCGTTTGCCTTTGGGCCCAGAAGTGGAAGGGGTATGTATATATATATATATATATATGTGTGTATGCATTCAAATAAATCCGAAAGGTGTCTTGTGGGTTGGCGCGGGCCCCCTGCCCACCGAGCCCCCTGGACGAGCCCCGAGACGGCCCAAGGAGGCCCCGAGACGACCAACGACAGCCCCAGATGACCCAAGACGGCCGTCCGACGGCGCAAGATGCTCCCAAGACGGCCCCGCAACACGCCAAGACGCCCCGAGACAGCTCCGAGGGGACACCCTCCAGGGCTCCAAGAGGCCGACATCGTAGACTTCCTATGGGTTTTCCACGGATTCTGAGATTCTCGCGCCTTCGACCGTCTGGAACCCCAAGACGGCCCAAGAGCCCTTCAGGATCGTCCCGAGACGGCCCAAGAGGCGCCCAAGAGAGTCCAAAGACAGTCTAGGAGCCCTTCAGGATCGTCCCGAGACGGCCCAAGAGGCGCCCAAGAGAGTCCAAAGACAGTCCAGGAAGGCCCAAGGAGGGCCCAAGAGGTCCCCAAGACGACCCAATAAACCCTCAAGAGGCCCCCAAGATGGCCCGACACGCCCCCAAGAGGCCCCCAAGACAGGCCAAGGTGGCCCCGAGTCTTCCCACGAGGACCCCAAGACGGTCGAAGATGATGTCAAGACGACCCCAGAGGGTCCAAGACGTCCCGAAAGAGCCCTAGGAGGAACCCCCAATAGGGCCTGAAGAGGCGAAAATCGTCGACTTCACATTGGTTGTCAATCGCACGCCGCAGCTTGCTGGCATTTGCGCACCAGAGACAGAAGCGCGCGTCGGCAAACTTCGACCCACGCAGCTCCTTGGATTTAATCCACGGGTCCACACTAGTATCGGAGGTTGGGGGGTGAGATCGCAGTGTAACGGAGACCCCCCACCGGGAAATCGGTTTCGGTTTCGTGTTCGTGTCGCGCGTGCGGGCGAGGCGAAGCTGCGCGTGATCCTCCTGTAGCTAGGCCGAAGTAGGAGCAAAAGTCCGTTCCCGTCCGCCAGTGGCTGGGAGGGTCCCAGTTGGGCCGGGCGGTGTCCCGGGTGTCCCGGGTGTCAGTAGGAGAAAAAGTTCGTTTCCCGTCCGCCGGTGGCCGGGAGGTGTCCCAGTTGGACCGGGCGGTGTCCCGGGTGTCCCGGGTGTCCCGGGTGTCCCGGGTGTCCCGGGTGTCCCGAGCGTCCCGGCGGGACAGAGAAAGAGAGAGATGATATCAAGGTGACAGGCTGGAGGTCAGTCAGGGTGGGCATTTGATTTCAATTCCCCCCCAATTTCCTTATCGCCCGCAGGGCGGTCGTATAGGTATGTATATTTACATCTTTTTTCCTATACGACCGCCCTGCGGGCGATAAGGAGGTTGGGGGGGGATTGAAATCAAATGCCCACCCTGACTGACCTCCAGCCTGTCACCTTGATCTCATCTCTCTCTTTCTCTTGCCTCCCTGTCTCTTGACTGACCCCCAGCCTGTCTCTTGACTGACCCCCAGCCGACAAAAATGAATTGATGGATTGGGTGGGGTGGATTGGATTGGATGTGATAAGATGGATTGGATAAGATAAGATGGGTTGTATTGGAAGACGTGTATAGGATAAGATTAGATGGATTGGATTGGCCCGCCGCAGGCGCAGAAACACATTAATTGATACTTTGGGTTGGATGGATTGGATTGGGTAGGATAAGATAAATGGGACAATATGGGTCGGATAAGATAATATGTTTTGGATTGGACAAGATGTGTTGGATAAGATAATTTGGATTGGATAAGAAAGCCCGCCGCAGGCGCCGGAAAAAATGAGTTGATGGACTAGGTTGGGTGGATTGGATTGGGTGGGCCAAGATAAGATGGGACAAGATGGATATGATCAGATAATATGTATTGGCTTGGACAAGATATATTGGATATGACAAGATAAGTTGGATTGGATAAGAAAGCCCGCCGCAGGCGCTGAAAGAAATGAATTGTAGGATTAGCGACATGCGTTAGCGCCGGGACGCCGGGGACACCGTGGACACCTGGGACACCGCCCGGCCCAACCGGCCACCGGCGGACGACACCCGGAACGCCCCGGGGCACCGCCTGGCCACACTGACCGCCGGCGGACGGGCATATGGACACCTGGGGCGCCCAGGACACCGCCGGCCACACCGGCCTTTGGCGGACGGGCACACTGACTTTCGCTCCTACTTCGGCCTAGCGACAGGCGGGTTCATTCCTCTCGCGCGCCCAAGCAGCTTCGCCTCGCCCGCACGCACGACACGAACACGACACCGACACCGATTTCCCGGTGGGGGGTCCGTTTCCCTGCGATCTCACCCCCCAACCTCCGACACACATACATCGTTTATCTTCGGAGGTTGGGGGGTGAGATCGCAGTGGATTGGAGAGCCCTCCACCAGGAAGTCGGTTTCGGTTTCGTGTCGTGAGTGCGGGCGAGGCGAAGCTGGGCGCGCGAGAGGAATGTTTTGCTGTCGTTAGGGCGATTTGGATGCAAAAGTCCAGCCCTCCGGTGGGCGCGCGGTGGCTGAGGGTGTCCCGCCGTGGTGTCTCGCGGTGTCCCGATGCTGTCCCGTGGTGTCTCGCCGTGGGCGCGCGAGAGGAATGATTTCGCCGTCGCTAGGGCGAGTCGGATGTGAAAGTCCGGCCCTTTGGTGGGCGCGCGCTGGTTAGGTGTGTCTCGCTGTAGCGTCCCGCGTTGTGCCGATGGTGTCCGCGGTGTCCCGCCGTGGTGTCTCGATGGTGTCTCGTTATGTCCCGCGTTGTCCCGTGGTGTCCCGCGGTGTCCCGCGGTGTTCCGTGGTGTCCAGAGGTGTCCCGCGGTGTCCCGCCGTGGTGTCCCGATGGTGTCCCGATCGATAGTGAGATCGATAGTGAGATCGATAACGACCGAGATGTGGTGAGATCGGTAGTGAGATCGATAGTTGGATCCATAGTGAGGTCGATAGTGAGATCGGTAGTTGCATCGATCGTGCGAGCGGCAGTGAGATTGCTAGTGGGATCGATAGTTACATCGATAGGTAATCGATAGCGAGGTTGATAGTGCGATCGATTGCGAGATCGTGAGATCGATATTGGGATCGTTTGTGAGCTCGATTGTGGAATCGATTGAGATCGCTTGAGAGATCGAGTGTGACATTTGTAGTGAGATTGGTCGAGTGAGACCGATCGTAAGACCGATCGTAAGATCAATAATCGGTAGTGAGATCGATTCTGAGATCGACTGTGGGATCGATAGTGGGATCCATTGAGTGAGTTCGAGAGAAAGCGAAACACTGAGGTCGGTTGTGAAATCGATCGAGTGGGATCGGCAGTGAGATCGATTGTGGGATCTGTTCAGTGGGCTCTCCTGGTTCCAGTCCTAGCGACCACTCATCGCTAGATTCGTCGATACTAAGACTGGCCGTGAGGTCGCTAGTGCGATCGATCGAGTGAGATCGATAGCGAGGTCGATAGATACGTCACATCGCGGCGTAACATTGTCATCGCGCGTCGTCGTCAACTCGAGGGTGCGCCACCAGCATCGTCATCATCACACCCGTCACAGTTGCCAGCAGGTGGTTCATCTCTCTTTCCCCAACCTCCTCATCACCCGAATGGTGGCGTATAGGTAAATCTACCCTTCGCGCGTTTTGTTGTTAGTTTGTTGTTGTTTCCTTATGTATTTATATATATATATATACATATAGACATGGATCGGGGGTCCCGGGGCCCCCAAAGTGCACTGACTTGTCTTCGATCGTTTTGGCCCCGGCTGGGGGCGCCAAAAAACGTCAAAGGGGGCCGAGAGACGTCCAAGAGGGCGCCAAGATGGCCGAGGAGCGCTCCAAGAGAGCCCAAGACCGCACAAGAGCGTTTCAACATTGGTCCAACATGGCTTGAAGTCAGCCCCAGAAGACTTCAGGACGGCCAAGGTGCCCTCCAAAGGACTCCCACGAGGCACTCAGGAGGCGAAACAAGTAGGTTTGTTTTTTTGATGGTTTTTGAAAGTTTTTCGTGTTCTCGCTGTTTCGTGCTTCCGACGGTCCAAGACAGCCCACGAGGCCCCAGAAATCAGCTCAGGACGGCCCAACAGGGACCCAAAGAGAGCGCCAGGACGGCGCAAGAGAGTCCCAAGACGGCCCAAGAGTGCCCCAAGACGACCCAAGAGGCGCCCAAGATCGCCCAAGTGGGCCCCAAGGGGGGGAACACGAACCGACAATTCGAGCCTTCCGCCCCAAGAGGCCTCCAGGAGCCCCAAGAGGCCCCCTAGAGGCCCCCTATAGAGGCCCCACGAGGCCCCAAAGGGGCCCAAAAAGACGCCCCACGAGCACTCCAAATGGCCCCCAAGAGGCTTCGAAACTGCCTTCAAGAGGCCCCGGGAAGCCTCCCACGGATTCCAAAAGAATTTCCAATAGGCCTCTAACCCACAACCCAGGCACGGTGGCGGGATTCGGGAACGTGAACCGATAACCCGAGATCTTCGCCCCAGGAGACCCCCAGGAGGGGTCAAGAGGTCCCCAAGAAGCTTGGCGACAGGTCCCCGGTCGACTGGTCGATGAGAGCGGAGGGGGAGGAGGAATGAGGAAGAGGCAGGAGGAAATTGAGAATGTTGACCTCATTATTCATGACCGCCTTGTTGTGTAAATGCGGTCAGCACTAGACCAGCTAGTACCTAAGCCCGCGCGAAGCGCGCGATGGTTCTATAATATATATCTATGTTTAAAAAGAGTCTTCAACTAGGCGTATTGAAAACCAATAGCAATATGTCAACGCACTTCTTCTTGTTTTTGCGTTTTCAGGTTTCTAGTTTTCCATCGTCGGAACCCGCTGCGGACGGGCCGTGGGCTCCCAGGTCTTTTTCACACCAGTGCCAGATCGGTTTCATATGTTCTTTTGTTTCCCCCAAACCCTCCTGTGCTGGGCTCTTTGGCTTTGAATAGGGCACCGTTGATGCCACCTCCTGTCCTCCTCCCCCTCCTTGTCCTCCACTCTTCTCCCGCCTCCTCCTGCGCTGCTCCATGTGTGGCTGCGAACTGCGCAACTGGC